TCTGTGCTGTCTTTTGAAACCTGTTGTTTCTCTTGTTTCCAATTACTGTCTTTATTGCTTTGCATATTAGCATGCCCACTAGAGGGCAAGCAAAGTAAATAAATGATAGAATTTGAACCAGTTTGGCATATCTTAAAAATAATATAAGAGTAAACGGTTGGGTAGAATGAAGTTTAAAGAATGCCTACATGTTATATTTATCCCTGCTCTATCCTTGATCTTTATAAAAGTATTTTATAGCAGGCCACATAGGAACTAAGTACAGAGGCTGCTGTATATAACAGTTTTCCACATGACTTCTAGTAACAGAACTTTGTTAATCTATTTAGTTGTTTCTTTCTAACAAGTAAACCTGGAAAACGAGTGCATTCTCTGATCTTGGTCATCTCAAAGGTATTTTAATTAAAAAGCAATTACATAAAGAATCTAGATCTAGAAAAGAATCTGTTTTTCTGCCTTCATGCAGTAATCTGTCTAAAATTTCTATCACTGTCATATAACAAACATTTGTGTCTACTATATGTTACTCTGTATCAGATGTATCAGACATCCTAGTCAGTTTTCACAGTACTAGCTTTCACAGTTTAGTAGGTGGTAACTTTTTTTTCCCCCAATGAAATGGGAAGGAGACAGAGTACATTACCAGGTATAAGGTTAAGTATTTGATAAAATTTTCATTTCAGTTATATATACACGTATACACATGTGTATACTGGGTCATTATTTAAAACATATTTCTTAGTCTAGGTTTATAATCAAAATAACTTTTGAAAGCAGAATTTTTTTTAAAGGACAATCTGAAATTTAGAGGAAAGGTAGAATTGTTTGTTCATAACATCTATTTCAATTTTGTGGTTATTTTTCAACTCTTTTTGGTTGTTTTTTGTTTTTTGGTTTTTGTCGGAGTCTCTGTAGCCCAGGCTGTACTGAAGTGGCATGATCACAGCTCACTACAGCCTCAAACTCCTGGGCTTAAGTGATCTTTCTGCCTCAGCCTCCTGAGTAGCTGGGACTATGGGTGTGTGCCACCATACCTTGCCGGTTTTTTTTTTTTTTTGGTAAAGTCGAGGTCTCCCTTTGCTGCCTAAGCTGGTCTGGAACGCCTGGGCTCCAGCAACTCTCCCACCTCAGCCTCCCAAAGTGCTGGGGTTATATGTGTGAGCCACTGTACCTGGCCATTTTCAACTCTTTATACTATTTCCCTGTGGACTGCTAGAAACCATAAATACACACATATAAATGTACTATTTGTTGTACTTCCTGATTTTCATTTTTAGAATTGAAGTTAATGGGGGTAATTTATTTTTCAAATAACTATTTATGCACCTGGGGGAAATGCCATCAGGAGGTGTTTATATGCCACAGGAACAAAGTGTAAACTCAGAAACATTTAAATAAGATTCCTATAAATCATTCTACTTTTTAATTGGAAATAAAATTTTGTATTAAGGCAACTAACCTTAATCGTTTGTTTTAAAACTTTTATTAACTTTATTGAGATATAATTTTAAAACATACAATTCACTCATTTAAGGTATGCAGTTCAATGGTTTTAGTGTATTTACGCAGTTGTGCAACTGTCACCACTGTCAATTTTAGAACATTTTCATCACTCCAGAAGGAAACGCCGTATCAATTAGCCATCATTCCTCATTCCTGCATATCCTTTCAGCTCTAATAAAAATTACTTTTAAAGATTTTTTTTTTAGCAGCATGTTAAAGCAGTTAATGTCTATGAACAATAAAATACCTTTCTTACTGGAACTTTTCCTTTTATCTAATCACACTTGTGCTTTATTTCATTTGACCTTCATTGTAACTTTATGAACATAAACTTCATTGAACTTCATCGTAACTTCTGAGACTTATGCAAGTGAGATTACAGAGTAAAGAGTCTCTGTTTTTTAAAAAATGTACCTGAATTATAAAACCAAATGAGCAATTTATAGCCACTGATCAGTCTTCAAAACATCTCATTTCCTAACAATATTGACATTTAAAATATTATTGGAATTCCCTTTGGATTTATCTTCAGACATAACTTAACCCTTACAAAAAAAGTCTTTCAGTGCCTTATAATCACATCTTGATTATAAGGTATAGTACTTGATTTGGGGCTTAAGTTTAATTTTCACCAAGGTGCTGTCAAGGCTATGATGTCAGTACCTTTGTTATGCCTTTTGAAATACTTTTTTGTTTTAATATCTTTTGCCACTTTATTGAGATAATTTTGCATACCATGCAATTCACCCATTTCAAGTATATGGTGCATTGGTTTTTGGTATGGTCAGAGTTGTGCAACTATCACCACTATATAAGTATAGAACATCTTTAATACCTCCAGGAAAAGAAACCCTGTATACATTAGCATCCGTTCCTCATTCCCTGAATGATTCCTGCCCTGCCCTAGTCCCAGGCAGCAACTAATTCATTCTCTATCTCTGTGAATTTGCCTATCCTAGATGCATCACGTAAATTGAATCATTCAATATGTGAGTTTATGTGACTGACTTCTTACATTTAGTTCAATATTTTCAAATTTCAACAATGTTGTAGATGTATCAATACTTCATTATTTTTTATTGCTAAATAATATCCTCTTGTGTGGAATTTGTTTATCCATTCGTCGGTTGATGGACATTTGAGTTATTTTTACTTTTTGGCTATTAAAAATAGTACTACTTCGAATATTTGCATACATGTTTTCTGTGCACTTATGCTTTCATTTCTCTTGGGAAAAGAATTGTCAGCTCATATGGTAAATCTATGTTTAGTTTTTCGCAGAGCTGCCAAACTATTTTTCAAAGAAGTTGCATCATTTTATATTTATAGTTCCGTCAGCCAAGTATGGGGTTTCCTATTTCTTTATATCTTCACCAATAGTTGTTGCTGTTTTATTTTAGCTTTCCTAGTTGGTATTAAGCAATATGGTTTTGATTTTCATACCTTTTCATGTAGTTATTGGTCATTTGTATAGTTTCTTTGGAGAAATGTCTATTAAATCCTTTGCTCAATTTTTTTTTTTTTTTTTTGAGTTGAAGTCTCACTCTGTCACCCAGACTGGAGTGCAGTGGCCGCTCCCGGCCACCGCAGTCTCGACCTACTGGGCTCTGGCGATCCTTCCGCCTCAGCCTTTCAAGTAGCCGGAATTACAGGCATGTGCTACCACGCCCGGCTGATTTTTTGATTTATTGTAGAGATGAGGTCTCGCTGCCCAGGCGGGTCTCAAACCCGCGGGCTCAGGCAATCCACTCACCTCAGCCTCCCAAAGGCACAGGATTACAGGTTGAGCCACCAAGCCCAGCTCTTTGCTCATTTTTTGATTGGGTTTTTTATTGTTGAGTTGTAAGAGTGTGTATTCACACCCACACACACGCATGCATATACTTACATATACACTCTGGATACAAGTCCTTTGTCAGATATATGCATTGCAAATATCTTGTCTATTCTGTGAGTTGTCTGTTATTTTCTTGATGACTTTGCTTTGCTTTAGTTCCAGACTAATCAGAAGGAAATTGTAACCGCAAAGTCACCTTCTTGATAATTCTGATTTGTCCTCCCTCTTCTTAAAAAAGCTGCTTTTCTCTCAGAGCTGAAAAGTCAGGAGGCACAGATGTTATTAGTGTGTCTTTCCATTACTTTTATTCCCTAAAATCAGATGAGAATATTTATTCTCATGTTTGATTTTAGGTGAAAAAATAATGTCAGTATATCTTCTACTTGTTATTTTTTGTTTTTGTCTTCTGGTCAGAAAAGTAAAATAAGAATGCATGTAAATTATATTACCAATACCTAGTAAATTTAAAGAGTAAACAGTTTGTTGTTCCTAGCAGTGACTTAAGGAGGTGTGGGAATACCTACTGGTTAGGAGCTCAAAATTTGGAGCCAGAAGGCAGGCATCCCATGTAGGCTACAGAACCTGAGTACTTATTCAAAACACCTCACCTATAACTTGGGGGTCATTGCACCTAATTTCAAAGGTAGCAAATTGTCAAGTTAAAGTGAGCTGAAACCTGATATGTTTAGCACAGAGACCTAGCACAACGTAGGCCCTGAAAGATTAGCCACTTTCTACATTAGAAAGATTTCTTGGAGAAACTTATCTTGACACAATATTTTAAACAAATTTTACATGCAGACTTAAACTGATTTCAGTAAAAAAGAATATTATATTGCCTATATACAGTTTGGATGTTCTAGGAGTTTTAAAGGGGATTTCCCAATATATCACTTCTAATAAGCTCCTAAACAAGTTAAAAGTTAAATTTCTTCTCTTGAAAAGTGAAGTTTTTAGAACATGAATTGGTGAGCATAGCTACAACACTCTGAGTACCTATAGCATGGAAATGTATTTTATATATAGTGCTTAGCACAATGCCAGATATCGAATAGGAGCAGTAAGTATAGCATAAACTATAATGGCAGTATAAATAAGTGCACTCAAAAATACCATAACTAGTTGATAGAAAGTAAAATATTCACATTTTATTTTATTGTTTTTTTTCTACATTTGGATTTATAATTTAAGATGGTAATAATTATAAATATATGTAACTACTATTAGACCACATCCCATTAAAACCCAAGTAGCCATTCTGGTTTGTTAGTTATTATGAAATTATGTTATGTTTACTGTGGCTCCAAATAAAAGGTCTTTGTCATGATAAGACTTAAAACCATTTATCAGAGTGTTTTATTTTACATTTCGCTTTTTTATATTTCTCACTTCACATTTAATATTTCAGAGTGTTTTATAAAGAATCATGTCAAATATACCAGGATAAGTACAACTATTATGTAATTTGCATGATAAATCTGCTTCTAATGTAAAGATTTATTCTGTAATATAAGTAATTATCTGTGGGTATTTTGGAATTCTAAGTTTTTACTTGTTGAATTTCAGTAAAGTTTGACCTATTATTTGATTTTCAGGTGCTCTTTCACTGGGTTGCTATCCACCATTAGAGGGAAATTTATACCGAAAACTTCTGCTGATACCTTCTTATTTATCTGAGATTGAAATGCTTTTAGCTATCGAAATCTTCCTGGTATCTAATGCTAGTAGTATTCAGAGTCCTGGAACTTCTACACAGATACTGCAGATAGTTTTGAAAAGGTTGGTTGATATAACTTTAACTGCATTCTGAATGTAGATTGTGGCTCCCACACCCACCCTAGAATGTAAATGTTATATATACTTATATATAACATTGTGTATATATGTTTTATATATATATATAAATTTGTGCATGTGTTGCAAACTATGGTACTATTTTTTTTTTTTTTTTTTTTTTTGAGTTGGAGTCTCACTCTGTCGCCCAGACTGGAGTGCAATGGCTGCTCCCAGCCACCGCAGCCTCGACCTGCTGGGCTCCGGTGATCCTTCCACCTCAGCCTTCCAAGTAGCCGGAATTACAGGCATGCGCTACCACACCCGGCTGATTTTTTGATTTATTGTAGAGATGAGGTTTCGCTGCCCAGGCGGGTCTCGAACTTGCGGGCTCAGGCAATCCACTCACCTCAGCCTCCCAAAGGCGTGGGATTACAGGCTGAGCCACCGAGCCCGGCTTATGGTACTATTTAAATTAAGAAAGGATTAGACCTGTTTGAGGCTTAAAATCAAATAAGTTAGTGGCATTCAGTAAACATTTTTAGTAACTTCAAAGGTGTAGAATATGTGCAGAGTGGATCCTCTTTAGGTACCAACCTTTCTTATGTTTAGAGATGAATAACTTAAAGGTCTTTATTTTTGGGGCAACCAAAAAGATCTAAGGACTAGGGTCTTAAGGGAAATATGCAATAGTTTATTCGGCTCAGTCAAGAATACTGTTAAAAATAAAGTCATTAGCTAAGTTTCTATATTTTAAAATGTTATTATACATGCATAAATATTATAATGTAACTGTTGCACCAGAGTGACACCGTCAATTTTGTTCAGAGTCCCAGAATTTATGCTCATACCACTCCAGGTTCTTGTCAGCCTTATCCAGGAAACTTGCAGCATATAGATCTCCTGAGACTCCTATTTTAGACCTTCTTGACAAGAATTTTGTTTCAGTTAACTGGTATTACAACCAGATATTGATTGACTATTACATTAGCTATCTATGAGTATTACTGTGCAGTAATTATCCCAAAACCTGATGGCTTAAAACAACATGCCGTGTCTTTGTTTCTGTTTCAGAACAGTTTAGCTGGATGATTCTGGCTCAGGGATTTTTCTGTGGCTCAGGGTTTTCACATAATTGGAGTCAGGATGCTGTCAGGAGCTTGTCACCTATGTGGTAGCTTGACTGCATTTGGAGGATCCTTTTCTTAGATGGCTCACCAAATGCCTGTTGGGTAGAAGCCTCAGGTCACCACATATTCCTCTCCATAAGTTGGTTGAATGTTTTTATGACATGACAGCTAACTTCTCCTAGAGTTAGTGATCCAAGAAAGAAAAGGCAAGGAGGAAGCTGCATTGTCTTTTGTGATCTATATCAAGCAAGAACTGGGATGAGTCTGAGATTTTATCCTATTTGCAAACTACAGGTTATCCTGCCACAGTTTCATGAATGCTAGCATAAAACACAAGACTCGTATGTTGGGGGCAGAGCACTTTACTACTTGTGATACAGCAAACAGCATGATTATCTACACATTTGTATCATTTTCTCCTGCTCCTAAGTTCCACAGATGACCCCACATGGATACCTGCACATGCCATGAGTTCTATAACAGGAGAGGAGTCCTAAACTTAAGGAACCCAAATATCTTTTTTTTTTTGAGTTGGAGTCTCACTCTGTTACCCAGACTGGAGTGCAGTGGCTGCTCCC